TAAACATGGGGTAAGCTCAACGTGTGGCTCCGTTCATTGCACAAAATCGGGTTTTGGAAGAGATTTTAGTGATCCTTAGTGGGGTACTCCTACAAGGTGAAGCTAAGTTGTCGCTAGTACAAGTAAAACTTCCACCCGTTGAACGGTTTGCCTACTCGAGGATGTGTTTATAAGGGCACGGATAGAGCTTCCGACCCCCCTTAATTTCATTGACCCTCCACACGAGTTGAGGAAAAGGAGTTAAAAGAAGTACTCTGGCGAGCGCCAGATGTACAGAAATTGCTATTTCTCGACTAATAAGGGTCAACGTGCAAAAGACTGCAGTTGGAACCCCCGCCAAGTGAATGAAAAGAAAAAAAAGTAAAATGAAAGTGAAAAAGGGGTTCCAACGGTGAAATGAAGTGAAAGAGCACCCCGGTACAACGAGTCCTTGGTTGTGAATAGTGTGAGTCCCTTTATCCATGAACTGACTGTCTTACTTCTACTTCTTCTCATGATCCTGGCTTGAGTCTAGTACTTGCATTGAGAGAGATAGGGACGTGTTAGAAGACCAGTTGACCTCGTAAGCTGCTTTATGATCTAGGAAATCCTCTACCGACGATCGGGGTTGTTTGTTGCTATAGAGGTATGGAGAGTTGCATTGGTTTGAGTTAGGTTTGTTTGGGGACAAGCAAACGGTTAATTGTGGGGGAATTTGATAGACCATTGATTGTACATGTTTTTACCCCTATTCTTGAGCCGTTTGAGATGTTGGTTCTCATGTTTTAAGCCGATTTCATGCTAGGTTGTGCGTTTATGTCATATTTCAGGGCTTGGCGTTGACATCGAGCCGAAGAAATGAGTTTCGGGTCGAAAGGAGCACGTTTGAGTTGAAGTGTGCTGGAAGGGCAAAATACCCGGCCATGAGCAAAAATACCCGGCCGGGTATTAATCAGAGCAGACCGGGGAAAAGGACTTTTGGGCGTCTGAGAAGTAGAGGGGGGCCCGGTCGTGAAGCTTAAATCCCCAGTCGGGTATTATTGACCTTGACCGGAGATTAACCCCCTGCCCCACACGGTGCGTTTTGAGAATCCCCGACCTCCACCTGAAATACCCGACCGGGTATTCAGGCCAGGGATCGCGACAAACAGCTTCTTAAGGGAAAATAAGGGCAAAAGTGAAGGGTTCCGAGTTTTAGAGAGAAAAAGCGTATACCTAGAGAGAGAAAGTGATGAACCTGATTCTGCAAGTGTCTCCCACAGTATAACTATCATTGAAATTGAACTTGGTAAATTACAATCTGGCATAACTGCAGTCTAGGGGGAACCATATTCGGGTGACCTCTCTCGACTTGAAAACAACCTTTTTACTGCTTTGCTTGTTTGGATCTTCACTATAGTTTCACTGCTAAATAATAAGAACTCACGGAGTAGTCATCACACTTAGGACCCGGGTTGACATTAAAACCCAAACACGCTACACTACGCTTTAGGAGGTGGTTACACTTGGCCATTTTCTAGAGTGACGGTAGGAGCGAGTCAGTTCCACAAAAATATTGGCCTCTCGCCTTTGACACTGCATGCTATCTCATCAATCGCCCTCCCACGCCTTTGCTCGATCATGATTCTCCATTTCACTTCCTCTTCAAACGTCTTCCTGATATCTCCAATCTTCGTGTTTTTTGCTGTATCTGCTATTCTTGGCTTCGTCCTCTTACGTCAAATAAACTTGAACCTCGCTCTCTTCCGTGTGTTTTTCTTGGCTATAGTAAACTCCATAAGGGTTATCGTTGCCTGAACATTGCTACTGGTCGCATCTATATCAATCGGCATGTTTTATTTTATGAATCCAGATTTCCATTTGCTGAATTAATTTCCCACCCTACACCCTATGTTCCCCTAGGTCTCCCAGCCCAATACTTCTTCCCTCACCACCCCCATTCCCACGCCCCGCCCCTGCCATTCGGCCCACCTCCATTCCATTAACCCAGCCCACTATCATTAGTCAGCCTACTTCCCAAGACCCTTTACCAGGCCCATCCCCACCCTAAGCTTCCCCTGATCTGCCAACCTCCCCTTCCCCACGCCTCACATCCTCAGTTGTTCCGCTGCGTTCCAATCCACCCAAGCCCCTGTTACAATATCACCGCCGCCGCCCTCCTCCTGCAGCGACCGCCCCATCCTCCACCTCACCCTCTCCGTTCCCTCTTCTTCTCGTCCCACCCCACTACCTCCTTCACGACCTCTTCCATCCCGCCCTAGATTTATCACATCCCCTCGTCCTCTCCAAATTGTCAACCCCACCCCAGCTCACATCACCCTATGGTAACCCGGATTAAAACCGGCCACCTCAAACCAAAAGCCCTTCACTCCCAGCTCCCCACTGTTGATACGCCTCGCACACTGGCTCAGGCCCTCCGCCTTCCCCATTGGCGCGCCGCTATGGCCGAGGAAGTCTCCGCACAAATCCGAAATCACACCTGGGACTTAGTTCCTGTGCCGCCTGATTGTAACATCCTCTCCAATAAATGGGTGTATCGCACGAAGGTCCATCCTGATGGCAGTCTCGACCGTCACCGTGCTCGGCTGGTTGCTCGTGGGTTCGAGCAAATTCCGGGGTTGGACTTCGATCAGACATACAGTTCGGTTCTTAAACCGGCCACTCTCCATCTCATTCTCGGCCTTGCGGTAACACAGGGATGACCTCTTCACCAAATTGATATAGCTAATGCTTATCTTCATGGACAGCTGCAGGAAACTGTGTATATGCAGCAGCCACCCGGTTTTGTCGACCTCGACGGGCCTGATTACGTTTTTCGCCTTCGCAAATCGATTAACTGTTTGCGCCAGGCGCCATGAACTTGTGTCTTTCAGCAGCGCTCGAACGGTTTGGCTTCTCAACTTCACGAACTGATCCGTCTCTTTTCATCTACAAGTCCTCCTCAGTGCGTATCTATATGTTGGTCTATGGCGATGACATCATCATCAACGGGAATGACAACTCCACTATTCAGCGGCTAATGGTGTTTCTTCGAGACAACTTTGCGCTACATGAGATGGACCCTCTGTCATATTTCCTGGGCATTGAAGTTCATCGGACTTCCTCCGGCATAGTCCTCATGCAACGCAAGTTTATACTCGAATTGCTCGACCGTGCCACTATGTCTGCTGCCAATACTATATCAACCCCCTGACCCTTGACATCATTCAGCAGGCTGCGCAGGACAACTCCCCCCTGTTCGCTGATCCGTCCCTCTATCGAAGTCTGGTTGGTGGTCTCCAGTATCTTAGTTTCATTCGGCCGGATATCTCCTTCGCCGTCAATCATGTCTCCCAGTATCAACATGCTCCTACTGACACACACTGGGCTGTCGTAAAGAGAATTCTTCGATATCTCAGGGGCACCATTAATCGCGGTATGGAATTCTCTCGGTCTTCGTCTCTTCATATCCATGGTTACTCCGATGCTTCTTGGGCGAGTTGTCCCAAGGATCGAAAGTCAATTACCGGGTTTGTTGTCTTCTGCAGGTCGAACCTGGTGTCCTGGTCCACTCGGAAACAAAAGGCGGTCGCTCACTCGTCCACTGAATGCCAGTAACCTGGCCACTCTAGCCTTCGAGGTTCTTTGGCTTCGCACCTTACTTCACGAGCTCGGCCAGTCCATTCCTTCTCCTCCGGTCCTATGGTGTGATAATCTTGGCGCTACGTTCCTCGCTCACAATCCAGTCTTTCACAGTCATTCTAAACATATGAAGATTGAGTTCCACTTTGTCCGTGATCAAGTAAGCAAGGATCAGCTGTGTGTTCATTATCTTCCCGCGACTGACCAACTTGCCGATGTGCTCACAAAACCTCTGCCTCGTGTGTCCTTCACCCGTTTTTGCTCCAAGTTTCGCCTCACCGAGCTTCAACTTGCGGGGGCGTGATAATGAGAAGAATGCTCCACAAGTCTCTCCATTGTTGTTACGTCTGTTGTTAGTGACCAGTAGTGGACCGTTGCTATCCTCCTTTATTTGCTATTGATGTTACTTGATTTCCGCTGCACAGTTACCTTCCATTGTATTATAAAAGCTGAACATCAATAATAGAAACCTCACGCTGTGAGTTCCTTTACATTTATATTAATTATCCTCTCTTTTTTTTAAGGAAATTTGTGCTAATTATCCTGGAGGGTATCCTCTCCCACGAAATCACAATCAAATTTGTTGTCACGTGGTAAATGCACCTTGGTAATCAAGAAACTGAAGATTGACACGGCCAACTATATATACCTCCGCTACAAGCCTTGGCGTTTAACAAATAACAATGGTAACAACACCATCACATGTGCAGAGCTCAGACCCTCCATCAAAATAGTAAGAGGACACGAGCCATAAACCTGGAGGATGGCACCTTGGATCTTTTTTGGCCACGAAAAGCAATCTGCAAAGCTGCTCCATGGCTGCTGTTGTGCAGTCGGGCTAACTATGGCAATGCGACAGTTTGATAAATATTCAGTCGAAGGTTAGAGGACACAGACTTTCTACTTCCCAGTGATGATAAAAGCTCAAAAGTATATTGTTTCATTAAACAGTGGAATCTATTGCCTTGTTTGTTACATCATGACATGGACCAGAAAAGTACGAAAAGATGACACTTTGCTACACCCACCACAACAAAAATTACAAAGAATCGCCAGCCGAGGTAATCAAAAACCCGAAAAGCCAGCGCTGGAACTGTAAATAAGAGTTTCCTATGGAATCACAAAAGTATAGGTTCAGGCAGCTCAGAGAATCTACTTTCTTGTTGACTTGATAAAGAAAGCAGCTTTGACCACATATGTAACACTTACAAGTTACAACCTCAATTTGTAACCCTGCTCAAGGTCTCATCTAGTGCAAGAATGCTGTAGCTATTCTAACCAAAGGCAAGGTCTGCTTCCCATGAAAAAGATTACCGCAATGCTTGGGTCTAGGGAACCACTCTAGCTTCTGCTTTGTTTCTGTATAGTTCATTGATTCATTTGATACTCTACCTTCAACATCATTTCTGATCCCTTTGCTCGTTTTTCCATGAATTTTTCGCCGCCTCAGCTGATGAACCAGTAGAACTATCACCACTACTTTCGCCCTTTGGTTTCGAGAAGAACGGATCCCATTCATGCCATCCAGCCTCCCGTTGGCCATCTTCCAGCAAGGCGTACTTCCAGCTATTCTCCTCCACAAAATTGTCGTACTCAGTTCGGCCTTGGATGATGTTCTTTCTCAACCTTGTCACCTTGTCAATCACAGCTTGGACAGCAACATCAAACGCGTCTTTGAGGGTCTCCAACTTCGACCGAGGATCTGCATATATGAGTTGGGGGATGAGGTTTATAACATTCTCCCTCATGATCTGAACCTGCTCGGGAGGAATCTGACTAAGCAGTTCCTCGATGCTACCATTCCTTTTCCGGATATCGTCCTCCGGAATGAACACAGAATACGTACTGAAGTTCTTCGGAAGATGCCATGTGTATTGAGTGTATGCTGACCCGGGATGGAAGAAGACAGGAATGCAACCTGCCAACATGGAATCGAAAGCTGATCTTCTTGTGTATGAATCTCCCTGAGGTTGCAGACAGAAAAGGGAGCTTTGAAACATCTGCATTATGCTGCTGGGAGAGTGACACTTGCTCTCCCCAAAATCACACTCTAACAGCTTACACACCTTAGAACCCCTACACTGATCTATAATCTGGCCTCTGATAGACTTGGGGTTGCCAGGACGTGGCGCCCCAGCAAAGGAGAAGAGATACTTCCTCTCCAACTTCCTCATCCGGTCTTGCCAAACAAACACATCAGCATCCTTAGCAGGATGGAAATAGGTCGGATATGGAATCCCAAAATCATTTGCATTCCAAGGGCTGGACTCAACAACAAGCATTGACATATTCTTTGCAGCAGGCAAGAACAAAAGCTTATTCCCCCAATCACCTTCTTCATCAGAGAGCCTCCTGAAATCCCAGGTAATCCTCCCACCCACCAGGAAATGATCCCGACCTTGCATGATCTTCCACTCAGGCCTTTTCATAAGCCAATCAACCAGATCAAGAGAAGCAGCATCCCTCCTCGAAATGTTATATCCCCAAAGGTACTTTGCGATATCGAAACCAGCATAGAAGGGCACAAAAATCGCAGCAGCGAGAGAAGAATCATTGGTCAAGCAGTCATATTGCTTCATCCTGTTACTAAAGATCACATCCACGGCAAATTGATTGGTGGCGTACCAGCCTGTGTTGGAGAACACACCTTCCACATTCTCCAATGGAGGGCCCATGCCAGCATTGGTAGTGAACTTGCACATATTGGTCCACAGACTCAGGCTCCTGCACTCCTTCAACATGTCGTCATTAAACCGAGAAGGCAAATCATGGACATAGATATACCTCCCACCGCACCGATCGGTCTTGTTCTCTACGGTTCTCAGAGCTCTCATGAAGGGGAAAGTCTTGGGCTGCTGCTGCTGCTGTGCAGTGACACGAGGGGTAACAACTTCTTCTTTGGCGGCGGCGATTTTGGGTAGCGGGGCCTCTTCAACTACGCGGACGGGGACCGGGATTCTGGGATCGACGACCACCGGCGGATTGGACTGTAATCTGAGCGACGATTCATCACCGCCACCGGTACGGCCTCCCAACACAACGAAATGGAAGTAGAGCAAGAGAATCCAGAAGAAAGCAGAGAGGGATGCCAACATACATAGACGGTTCTGCTGGTTCCTGCCATTGCCTCTCTCCATTTGCTCGAAAGGGATAGCAATTGCAGGGCGGCGTCTGGTTAAAAACTTCAAATCGCCCATAAATTCATAAATACAAAAAAGATCCCAACCCTGATTAACAAAACCCACCTCCCAGAATGAGAGAATCACCCCGAGGAAATGAAGGAAGAACCAATTTCAGCTCTAGCTCGGAGTGAGTGGTGTACAGGAACCCAGAATCGAAGGAAGTAAATTCTACAGAGGGAATCGAGTCAATGGAAGAATCAAAAGGCGGGAGGGAAATCTGATAGAACAATCCGGCTGGGAGCAGGAGAGAACCCACAAAGAGAAATGCGTGTTCGAGTAAGAAAATCAAAGAAGCCTGCACAGGGGGAAAGGAATTAAAGGAGCTGCTGAGAAGAACTCACAAGAGTTAATGAGAGAGAATGGAGGGAGGGAGACTAGATTCGCTGCTTTTGAAGATCCGAGCTTTGCGAGAGGGAGAAGTGAAACGGGGACTGCGCAGGGAATCAGGGGAATGGTGATGAGAATGCGAATTGAGAAAAGAGAACAGAGAAGGAAAGAGGGAGAGATCGTACGGTAAGTTAGGGTGAAGGCTCGAATTTTCCCTCGCGTCGGTGCCTCGGTGGCCGCTGGATTTTGTACCGATCATTGGTTGTCATGTCAAAAGCAAAGCCCACCCGTAGAATTGGGTTCAACCGGTACTGATCACAAATTCGTGTGGAATAATTCCAATATGATTTGCATGATTGATTTTCGACTTTTACACAAAATTATGTTGGTTTTGTGAAAAAAATTATTAAGGAAAAAATAAATTCTGCTATGTTTCTTGAATTGAAAGTTGATGTTAATGGTTGGATTCAAACATTAATATTTAGACTATAGATGTTTATATTTTTTGTTGGATTCAATTATAAATTTTTGCATGTTGGTGTTATAGAATTTAATTAAAATAGAGGATCTTTTATTTTGTTTGGAATGTTATATTTTATTTAAATATGAATGTAGATTTTAGAGAGATTTTTTTCAAATATGTTATATATATGCCTAAAGTAATAAAGTGTTGATGATTTATCACTCCCCTACATGTTTTGCTAGAATCAGAATGAACTAGCAAAAACCAGTTGTATCACATGCCGAATCATAACACTTTCCAAACCAACTAACGGTATAACCGGTTTGACAATCTTGCTACGAATACAATTTTTCTTACATCAATACCTCTCAAAAACAAATATAAAATGTAACACTTTAAGCGAATCCCACATCGACAAAGCATGAGAGAGATTCATGGTTCATAAGTAAGAAACCGATCTTAATTGACAAGACGCGTTTTGAGATGAAATTGTTATAAGAACTGAATCGGATTAACGGTTGGGCTCGTAGAACTGTCAAACCAGTTATGGTAGTGGTCCGATCTATTTCTTGAACGGTTAGTGATGGACCAAACGATTTTTCACTGTTCAAAATAAAACCAGATGAACCACCACAGTTTAAGTGGTCCATTACTTCACTATTTTAAACGTGCTCAGTTGTGGATCATTGCAAGAATGAATGACCTTATTGAAAGTCATCTTAATATGCACACCAAACAAAAATCGTGAGAACGTAGACTCAAAATACATTTTTGTGAAAAGATTCGGAATGTTACATAAAAATTTATAAAAAAAAACATATATAAACAAGAAAAAACTGAATACCAATTTTTTTGGATCAATTCTCTCTTTAATTTTTAGGGTAAATAAAATATATTAGCCACAACTATTAAATATCGGAAAATTGTAGCCACAACTATCGAAATACAAATTATTATCCAAACGTTAACTCTCTATTAGAAATTTCGTTAGTAAATGTTGACTAAGCTTTACGATGCTGAGCTGGCTCCCACGTGGCAGTCATCATATCATATTTTAAATTTAATTTTAAAAATAAATTATTAAATAATTAAGAAAATGAAAGAAAAAATTTAAAATTTAAAACTCTTCTTCTTCCTCCGCCTAGATCCACTCTTTCTCCCCTGCACCAGCTCGCCGTAGGCCGCTCTTCCTCCCTACCCCATTGATGACTACGAGACTTGGCCTGGCAATACGACCCCGATATGATGCACCTCAAGTTGGGGGAGAACTCGAATGTCGTCATCTCATCACCGGAACTCGCCAGAGCATTCCTGAAGACGCACGACCTCAACTTCACCATCACTCCCCACCATCGAAGATCTTCAGATCTCCTTCCAATCCACATAATCTCATCTCGTATCTCTCTACCTCAAGCCTCCCACTAATCTTCCTCAATCCTTCCCGAGCTTCAAAATCGCTAAGTCGAACTCACATGACCTAGCTTCAAAATTGTCACAAAATCGATGATCCTCCTTCCCCAATCTCGAATTCATTCGATCCACCTCTGATGTCTGTAATCAACACTCTCTATTTCTGATGCTCTTTCTTAAAGAGAACAGAAAGCTGAGCTCGGTGGCGCCGCACCGCCTCCGAAATCCGAGACCCGACGTCACCCTCGAACGGGAACCCAACTTCCCCAGCTGTCGTAGGCCTGATTGGGGTTCGAGAGCGGGATTGAGGTGGAGGGAAAAGGGAAGAAGCATGATTGAGGATTTGAGATTGGAGGAGGAGGGAAGAAGCGGGATTGAGGCCAGATTAGGGTTCGTGAGTCGGATTGAGGCAGAGGAAAGAAGCGGGATTGAGGCCAGATTGGGGTTCGTGAGCGGGATTGAGGCAGAGGGAAGAAGGGGGATTGAGGATTTGGGGTTGGAGGAGGAAGGAAGAAGCAGGATTGAGGCGGAGGGATTCGATCGGGAGGAGGGAAGAAGCGGCGGCGAGGTGGAGGAGAAGGGAAGAAGGTCGGGAGGTGATGTGCCGGGGAAGGGGGCTTTGACCCTTCATTTTTATTTTATATTTTTTATGTTTAAAAATTATAAATAAAAATAAATATGAATTGGAAGGTGATGTGGCTGCTGACGTGGTCTTTTTCTTCACTTAATTTATTTAACGGTCAACTTTCGAAGTTGACTGCCACGTCAGACAAAGTTAACAGAGACTAACAGAGAGTGACCAAACTTGAACTATTGAACTAATTTGAGTGACTACAGATGGAATAAATTAATTTTAGTGGCAAACGTGAACTTATTAAGTAATTATAGTGACCAAACTTATAATTTACCCGTTTAATTCGATAATCATGCATGCTTCTCCTCCTGGGATTGCGTTGCCACCTCTAGGGAGGGTCATGTGGCATGTGGGGGCCACAGGTTTCTCACCCCGTCTGGGATCCTTTTTCCTTTCTCGATCAAATGGTGACATGTGTATGCGTAACATTTATCGTCCGTAGGCCATAGGCCATAGCACACAAATGTAAAAATTATTTTAGACAAGTAATTTTCCTTCATTTTTTTTATTGTTGATTGCTAAATTCGGTATTTAGTCGTTTAACAATACCTTTCATGTTTGTTGCCTAAAGAAATTGCATCGCTTATCAGTCACTTATCTCCATAATTCGAGATCGCAGATGTGTTATATATTTCTCTTTTCAGATGGTGGTGGAATTTTATTTTCTCCTCTTCATGTGATGGTAAGGTAAAAACTTAAAAGAATTAATTTTAAAAATTTTAACAGTAGCATCATCTATCTAACTATCAAAGATCATAGTTGACTATCACTTTAAATAAACTTAACAAAATTTAACAATTTGTCCTCATCTTAAAAACAGAGTTTAAATTGAGTGACTACGTAGCAAAGAAGTTCTTTTATAACAAAATAATAATAAAAAATGATAAGGAGAACATCCAATTTAGCCATGTATTACCCTAAAAAAATTTAAAATAATGTATTCATTTTGTGATTTGTAATAGACGTGTGTGCACAAATCACAAATGTAACAGTTAAGACCATCCATGACTACGATGCCTAAACGGACAGCGGGAAAACAGTTGACTTGTTCGAAGACCTAATCAAGATTTAAGGTGTTAGATTATATCATGGGTTCATCATTGAGACAAAACCAAAAAAAGTGGATTGTTGCGAGGAGACATAAACCAGATTGAGGAGGTGGTGGTTCCGCATGAACTCAACATCATTCGACAAAAATTGTCAAATCTAAAGATTTGTGCTCTGAACTTGGACTAAGAAAGACTAAGTCAAACTCCAAATTTCCTAATTACTAATAGGCTTAATACTCCATTTTGGCCCGAAGTTTGGCGATAGTGACGATTTTGGCCCAAACTTTTCAATAAGACAGTTATGACCAACTTTTCAAAATATTGGACAAATTTGGCTTGCTATTTGAATTGACCGTCAAAACTGACTGTTAACTATTTTTTCCGTCAGTGAGTCAGCATGCTCCGCTGACTAGGCTTATCCATGTCACATTTTTTCTTAAATTAAAGAAAATTTGAATTCAAATAAAAAATAAAAATAAAAAGATAGAAGGGAGGGGTCACGAGGACCACTGTCTCCTCCCCTTCCCCATCGTTCACGCCTCCGTCCATTCCCGACCTAGCAAGTCCGACGATTCTTCCGCCGGCCACCTGCCGTCCGTACTGCCTCCGCCAATACTTGTCTTCCTCTCCTCCGCCGCCTCTTCGATTTGGATCTGGAACCCTAGCCGCCTCTTCTTCGTCCCTCTCCTCCGCTGCCTCTTCTTCAACCTATCATCGCCATCCCTCCGACGCTCTCAAAACCACTTCTTCCCCTCCATCGACCTTTCCAGACCTTCCTCCCAAAACTAACTCGAAGCTCACCGTTGAGCACGCCGCGTGGGAGCGAGTCACCGGCCGCCTGCCGTCCGTACGACGGCACGGAAGAGAGAGAGAGCACCCAGTTCTATCCGGGATCGGCATCTGCTTTTGATTTACTTCTTTTCCTTTCTCAAGCACACCATGCCCCAGCAGCTCCTTTAATCTTACCATGCCTAGCGAACAACAATCTAGAATTATGGGAGAGGAGATTGGGAGTGTGTTCCTCTGCCTTGTCTGAGTAGCTTCCCAATTGGCAAGCAAGAGCCGACATGGAGATGGAGCAGATCACCAAATCTGAATTTCCTATGCAGATGGGAAGTGGCAACTGACATGCAATCTTGGGCGCCTCCTTGATTGAGACCCTGAGAATCGCTTCCTCTAATCGATTCTGTAAGCTTGTGGGGCCTGAAGAACGAACCGTCGGTTGCCGCAGCAAGGAAGTGAAGAGCGGAGCGCCACCGTCGATAGCTGCTTTTGTTTGATTGGTCAAAGTTTTTTTTTTTTAGTTTTCAGAATTTTTTAATATAAATTAATTATTACGTGGAAGCCACCTCAACATTAGAAGGTGAGTCACTAACAGAAAAAATCATTGACCGTTAGTTTTACCGGTCAAAATAAATTTTGTGCCAAATTTGTCCAATAATTTGAAAAGTTGGCCATAACTGTCTTATTGCCAAAATCGTCACTACCGCCAAAATTCGGGTCAAAATGGGGTATTAAGCCTTACTAATAACTCAAGCTACCATTCATACTAATATTTTTAGTTGAGGGTGTTTGTATTTTTAAGGTAATGTCTATTTTTTATTCAAATATTTTTCAGATTCTTTTATATTATCCAAATTTATTAAAATGCTATTAATTAGTCAAATCTTTCGTAATGCATCAAAATATTAGTCATTTTTACGTTATCGTTAATAATTTTGAAACTCTTTCCTTAGTTAAAATACTAAAATTTTGAAATGTTGACCTTCATGTGTCTCTTCCAAGTCAGTATCATGTTGCCAAGTCAATTTTACTAACAAAATTGCTAATTGAAAGTTACCATTTGACTAATTTTTAATATTTCGATAGGTTTGGCTAGTAAAAAGGAATCCGAAAAAGATTTGGCTAATAATTAATCATTACCCTATTTTTAATATTAAAAAGTCGTAAAGTTATAATTCAGAATGTGGGAGGCTGGGAGCACCTCCAAATAAAATGGTCCTCCATTAGAGATTTTCCACAAATATTCAAAAATCCGGTTATGATATCATATTAACAGATGCAAATGTAGTAATGTACATGTGTGTAAATTTTTCGGGTGGGAATGTGTGCATGCGGATCGATACAAGAGGCTTTTGCAAAGGCTTCGGTAATGGCAATTTAATTTATGAAGTGACTCGCGTGACTTGTTCAATTCTTGACCATTTGAGGGGTTATTGCCCAACTCGTAGTAGCAAGAATGGGGCATGAAGACTTTTTCCAATCTGCCACATCTCGTTATCAACCCGTTCTTTCATGACTTACATGAATAATTTGCATCAATATCTGATTCTACGAGACTCTACAACTCGGTTGACGATTGACGAGATTTGACGATTTAATCACACGAGGATTCGCAGCCACAATATATGGATTTTTTGTAGGGTGTGGGTTTGAGGGTGAACCAGAAGCAACAGATCCCCCTAATGAAATCATCTGACACCTGGAAAAAAATGCTGGTGGAAGTTCATTGGTGTTCTTATTGGCTCAATGAAACTCTCCAAAAGATACCAAAGATTACAAATGCAATTCTGATACACAGTCATAAACATGTTTCGCAGTGAGGCAAGGTTATTTGGATGGATGTTCTTTGCTTCTGTATCGCCATTAAGGGGAAAAGATTCATGGACCTGAAATCAGATCTCCACACCTTCACGTGTGTCAAAAATTTACCCCAACAATTTTCACCGACTGTAGACGATTCGGTAATCTGAATATTGGATTTAGGGCAAAGAGTCTGGTGATACACCCTCACTGACTGTAGAGCCCAACTGTGGACCGCCCTTCCGGTACGATAAGAGAAACTCGATAGGGTACCCCCTCAGTTTATGTGGCTCAATCCCAAGATCAAGGAATGTTAAAGCTGCAAACCGACCCAGTGACAGGGGAAATTGTAAGATAATAGATTCAGTTCTAAACCAGAAATCGCTGAAATCATTTCACTGAACTAACCATTTTCTGAGACGAGAGTATCTGTTGAAACTGCATTTATCTTATCCAGGTTGAAGACACTCGGGGTAGGTAAAGGAAAAGGAACCTTGTTAAGTAGGAATTCTCTTGGCATAGCAGCTGCCTGCAAGCATTCAACGGCCATTACTGCTCTATCATATTGTCATGGAATTTACTAGCTCAACTAACAAACAGTTCCATTATTCTTTATATCCAACAATACTACCTTGGCAACAGGCAGCGGAATTTTGACATAGCGAGGCCATTCACGGATTGTCTCGAACATGACCTCTGCCTGTAGAGCACAAAATAGCATTTGAACAACTATCACCTATTGATAATCGCTGCAACAAAAAAGATAGAAGACAAATTACCAATTCGTGCATGGTAAAGATTTCTGGTCCACCAAGCTCATAGACTTTTCCCATACTGGTTCCGTCATCTTTCAAAGCTGCGATAACTGCACCCGCAACATCAACAACATATACAGGTTGGAACCTGCAATAAACATATGGTTAGGAGATCATACATACATTCGTACATATTAAATAGTCTAATAACTAATAACTACACTCTAGATACTTTTTTATGTAGTACATACTTGGTCGATCCATCTCCAAAGAGAGGAACAAATGAGTACTTCTTCGCAAAGTGAGCCCAGGTGTTCAACATACGATCTTCTGTACCAATCATGGTAGCTGGCCTCAAAACTGTGGCCTACAGCATATACTTGTACATCAGAAATGCACAATAATGGCAACCAAGTAAGCATCTAAACTGAAAGAAATACATAAAGTTATGTAAAAGAAAGGAAACGACAGCAAGAATTCCGTGGGAAAGGAACCAACTTGCATCCCTAGGATAATTCATAAAGGAACAATTACACAATTGATTTCACATGTCTCACAACAATGTTCAAGCACTAACAGACAGCAGCTAAGATATACTGAAATATCCATCCTAGCCTTTTCATTTCTCCACTGCCTTATCTCATCTATAAGAATTTTCACCAAGTAGAGTTACTTATAAAGCAAAACACCAATTCTGCCGCAAGATAACAGACATGACTCTTACTTTATTATCAAAAATTCCGGAGCAAGATTTTCAACAACCGATATCCATATCTTTCGGGAACATGATGCATACACATAACAAAGATGAATATCAAGTTTCATGAGACGTTTGCATAAATTAGTAACAACGCTTTACTAGTTGTACGAAGTGCACAATCCCTTGCAAAATAAAATCCCATACTTTCACAAGGCAATAAAATAGACCACTATAGATTCTTACCTCGGGTATTTCTCTTAGAACAGACTGCTCTGCAGCTGCCTTAGCTTTCAGATATCTCGATGGAGATGATGGTGAAGCTCCCAGACAAGAAACCTGAATAAATCTCATGATACCTCCATGCTCTTTTGCAATCTGTGCAAGTCACCAATTAGACCCATTACTTTGGGGAGAGATCTCAAATCATTTTGGTGCTTAAAAGAAGATAACACAAGAAAAGGTGACTCCAAAGTCTAAGAACAAAACTCTTTGATGCTAAGGCATCCTAACCAGTCATTTATGAGTTACGGATCAGAACAAAGATAGCCATTTCCTCTTCAAATACTTACTGGTAAAGATCTGTTCATATTTATGACTATAACAATGAAAAGGAAAAAGAGTTAGGCCCACATTGTACTCAACTGATTCAACACTGCAAACTTTCTAATTGCTAATACAGAAATGTCACAACTTTTGTTTGAATGACAATTAGTCATACTGGATGGACTTGATCTCTACATATTTTCTCACTGGTTTGCCCTACATAAGATTGCAAACATGACCCAGTTGAAAATAACATCTCCATAAACAATGTCAGTGGTCTGGAGCTTCTGAAAGCTTACGCAGATTACGAGGTGAAGAAAGAATTACCAGAAGGTTACCAAATTCAACAGATTATAACAATTCAAGTTATAGGCATGTAGGAACCTACCATAGCAAATTTTTCAGCCATTCCATGGTTAACTTCCTCAAAGCTGTAGTTCCTCGTTTCATAGTCCCTTCCTGTCAACAGGGCAAAGTAACTTATTAAACTTAATTAAAGCACTCCTGGATTTGGACAAGCCTTACAGGCAACAGGTGAAAAGCATTACCCATAAGATTGATAACAACATTAGCCTTTGCCATCACAGCCTTAACAGAATCTTCATCTCTTGGGTTGAATTGCATTGGTACAACCTGAACATGCAAATACACGAAATGGTGACATCATAAGAGGCATTGAATGAAAGAAACTATTAAAAGCAAACAGATGGAGTGCTTCCACTTGAGGTTGACTAGCAAAAGCACATTACCTGACCCAAATCTCCCATCAACTTAAGGTGACGATGGGCATCCTCACCGCCACGAAATGGAACTAAAACCTGCGATCCCATTTTAGCTGCAACGGTAAGAAAATGACAGTAAGTCCTAACATTAAGAAATTGGGAACGGCCGAACAGGGGAGCAATGGTAAACGCAAGATGATAGGATAAAGAGAAAGGGAGAGTGGAGAGTGGAGGGGGGAAAACGCTGAAAGCAAAGCGCGATACAAGAAACATCAGTGGAACTTCCATGTGGCAATGTGTGAAAATTGGCAGTAAGAAACGACTCACCAAGTTGCTGCACAACATAACGACCCAGAAAACCCGTAGCTCCAAAGACTACAGCAACGATTCCACTGCAGCAAAACACAAAAGCCAAAACATTTCATGGCTACTAGATTCCGCCGCGGCCAACTGACGCTACATTACCAATTCACATAACACACTAACTAATCCTTGGGGGAAAATCGAGGGGGGGATCAAATTCTTACCTGACTGACGATCTCCCGCCGGTTCCCTTACGGACGAGGTGACCCACGCCCTTCGGGGTTATAGTTGAGACGTAGCGCGGATGTTCAGCTCCATAATCTGCCAGAAAATAAAAGCCCATTGGGAAAGGATTTCAGATGAAGCAAATTCGAAGGGATTGGGGCAGAGAACCATGAGTAAATTGGAAGAAATGGAGCATTACAGTGATCGGAGAGAGGGTAGACCGATTTGAGAGATGAGATGGAAGCAGCGGGCTTCAGGTAACGGTGCCCTAATCGCCTCGAAACCGCCTGCATCGTTCTGGCTTCAACGGAGAGACAGAGATTCTTTTTTTGGTAGAAGGAGATTGATCGAAAGGATCTGCAGAGAAAGAGCGAGGTGAGTGAAGAGGAGAAAGAAACTCAGAGCAGAGGAAGGACATCTGGGTTTGGGATGGGCCGATTTTATGGGTTGATATATATTGCAGGCCCATGAAATTACCCGATAATTGCATCTCACATTCTCACTTAGATTGCGCAATTACCATGGGCCCACCATCCATGATCCTAGGGTTTGTTTGCTTCATAAATTTGGAAAATAAAGATTTTTGATAAAATTTAAATTTTGTAAGACCATGGATATACGAAAGTTTTGGGTTAATTATGGACTTGTAAAATATCATTTTTGTTTCATTGATTTCATGATGGATTTGGTTAACTGGAATTGTGTGCAAGAAGTGAAAACGACTTACATTACCCTCATTGGTATGAGATGAGAAAGATAAAAGGAGAGATAGTTTGGTTATAAATAATGGACTTTAAAGTCCATGATCAAGTTTAGGTGGAATTTTCAAGTCCATTGCACCCACGGATTTGGACCAATAGACCATCCATTATGGTTGGGTGGGAAATTTGTGTGGGTTGATGGGGAAATTTGGGTTTTTTGGATTTGAGAGTGGGAAACCCCACAATGGGTCGAGAGGGAAAAGTGAGAGAAGTGTTTTTTATGAATCTTATTTAGTGTTGATTTTGTCACTTTAGTTAAATAATTTGATTGTTCTTTTTATATAGGTAGTAATAATTAATTAAGATGAACATTGTGATATAATTTTTATTTAATTTGAACATAAATTTTTTTGACATTAATGAAATATGGTCGTCTCGTTTATGGTTGTTGAAAAATATAAACATTGTAAAATATGTCCGTTGGAATTCAATTATGATCGTTAGATCGCATTGAAAACAATCTACAGTTTAAAAAACCCAAAACTAAAACGAAAAAAAAAAGCTAAAAGTAAAAAGCAACTCTGGTATGCGGACCTCGCCAGTCCAAACCCCCTCTTCCTTCCCCCTCCTTTTGTCTTGTTGTGAGGGAAAACCCTCCCAAACCCACCCAAAAAATCTTTATTTCCCCCCTTTTTCAACCCCCATTGTGAGTGTACGTGGGCATCGGCCCGGCCCGCCCACGGGCTAGCATGGCACGATTAGAGCACGACACGAGCACGGACACGAAATAAATGGGCCGGCCCGGCACGAGCACAAATAATTTATGGGCCGTGCCGGGCCTAAACTTCATGGGCACGAGCACCACACGGTATATAAGTGGGCCGTGTTGGGCCTAATATTTTTTAGATTTCATTGAGTATAAGAACGGACATGGCACAAAATAATATTTATTTGATAGAAAATAGATATAGAAAGAATTATAGGTTCAAATATTACAAAATACAAGTAGAAAAATAATTATTTGTTGTTGTTAGAAGTGTCATAAAGATATAAACGTAATTACTACCATAAGTAAAAATGGACGAAGAATTAAACAAAGCCAAATCACGCCCGCTATACTTCCAATTTCCCCCTCCCCCTTATTTGTTACTTTTCTCAAACATTCTCGGTTAATACTATCTTTCTTCATCTAATTTTCACCTTCTTTTTCATTCTCGCTTTTATTTTTTTCATTTTCAGTAGGCACGAATACGAGCACGGCACAAGCACGAATAGGCACAACACGATTTCAACCGTGCTCGGGTCTGGGCCGGGCCTAGCAAAGTTAACAAATGGGTTTCATGGAACGGCACGAAAAGTGATGGGCCGTGCCAAGCACGGCACGAAATAAATGGGCCTGAAGCGTGCCCGTGTCGTGCTGGCCCAAGTACGGCCCAACGCACATGTACAATTGCGAGCCCCCATTTGCAAAAGGCCCTTCTTTTGCTTCTTCCGACCTCCCATGATAGGTGGTCTTAAAGTCCATAGGCCCCACGGATTTGTTACCATCAAATACATGAAGCAAACAATAGATTTTGGACAAAGTCCATGTTGGATCCAAATCCATCAAGCAAACATCTTAACCATGGTCCTCGAGTCTTTTTCAAAGATAACCGGCTTTTATCCAATTAATTGGTCGGATGAATTCAATCTTATTTGTCATTACTCATTATTATGACAATCGATTGGCCTCATTCATACTATAAAATTATTTGATACATTTTCAATAATTTATTAATTTGTGAGTTGACGTTGTTGGTGCAAGGTTATATTAAATCGCATCTAAAATATGAGTAATAATATATAACATTACACTAAAATAACAGTTCGTGTTTGGATCCAACATATAGTGAAAATTCAAACACATTGATATAACATCAATATTTCAAGGCCTAATACCCGAAAAGGGCCTATAGTTTAGCCTTTCTGTCACTTGTACCCCTAAGTTTGTCTCGTGTCAGTTATGTCCCGATGTTTAGAGACTCTACGTCAATTATGTCCTCACTCGTTTTGTTGACTGTTAAACTTGACGGTCAACTAAACGCCAGTCAAACCTTATTTGACTTTTATGCCACATGGCAGCCACGTCATACACACGTGACATTTGTTATTATTTTTAATTATCATATCAAATAAATCTCTGCCGAAGCCCACTCCCCGTGCGAGCTCCGCCGCCTTCTTCTCAACCAGTTGCAACCAGTCGCTGAGTCGAGGAGGAAGAAGAAGTTAGAGAATGAAATTATATTAAAAGATTAGAAAACGAAAGGCTTGACTGGCTTCATCAGCCGCCGTTGCTGAGTGTCGGCTGCTGGTTCTCCTTCGCCTTGTTCGGTTGAGGGAAGAGGATTTCACGGTGGCCCCGATTGGGTGTCGTTTGAATCGAACCTGGCGATGGAGAAAACCGTGGAGGATTCAACGGGGCCATTCGAGCAGATCCGAGTCAGTGTGGAGATAGAGGAGAGCGACACCTTGATCGTATGAAGCTCGCCGGTATTTGAACTCGGGGAAGAAGATGACTGGAAAACCCAACCAATCACTCACTATCGCCGCATGCGTCCAGCAGTCCACTACATTGATGGCTCGCCAGATCTGTTCAATGTTGAATTGCTAGTTGCTCACCGGCGTCCAAGGCTACATCTAGGAATGGCAATGGGGCAGGTCCGGGGCGGGTTTCTTGGTACCCAGACCCGCCCGGTGGCAGGTCGGGTCCAGGTCGGGTAATTGATCACGGGTCGCGGGTCGGGGCAGGTCGACCCAATGGGTATGCAATTTATATGAAAAACATTACAAATATTCGTTATTTTTATTATAAGACTAAGAAAACAAACAATATTATGACAATTGTAGTTGAATTATTGGAGAAATTGAAGTTTTTTACTAATTTACAACTTTATTATAGCTAAAATATGATGCAATAAAAGGAAAAATCTAAGTAATTTGACTAAGATTACATGTAATTTAGACAAGAACGGGTCGAGAATGGGGTGGGTCAGGGCAGGTCGGGTCGATGAGACTACCCATGCCCGCCCCGCCCCGCCTACGGGGCGGGTCGGACCCGCCCCAAAACAGGTCAAACAGATCGGGTAAAACGGGTCAGGTCAAAATTGCCATCCCTTACATCGCGCCTCTCTCGCCTTTCGCCTACGACGTCGAGCGTCTCAATTCGCTCACGCTTCCGTCACCGTTGCTAGCAGCTCTGTCGCCAACGTGCATCGCACCTAGTCGCCTTAAGCCTGCACCAGATTTCCAATCGCCACCGCGAATCCCAGTCGGCATTGGCTTCTTCGAGACAAGAGAAGGAAAGAAGAACGAGTTTAGAGATTTTTGGATCTCGAAAATGGTTTGGAGTCAATAAACACCTTCTCCTCTGCCTCCAACCCCCTTACAGATCTGCAATTTCCACCACTCACGATTCCGCCCTATACCGCCTCTTCTTTCCGTTTGAAACTTGATGTCTTCCCCTATGTCGCACACAACTGTCACTGTTACGAAGTGGGTATTGAAAATCGCCTGGGTCCTCCCCGCCGCATCAGCTCTGCCGTGGGTGAGGTGAGGCTCCCGTCGAGGCTCTTTCCGTGCAAGGAGCAAGACTCACCATAACAATAATCATGGCGATCACCAACAGAGGCAGCAACACTTAGGGATTTCGGGTTGGGATAGGGGTTGGTAGCATTATTGGTATCAGAGGGATGAACGACGACGGCAGTTCCGAAGTAGGCAGAGAGATGGGGACATGGCGTCGCTGCAAATATGACCCTTCATTATCTTTTTGTTTTTCTTTTGTTTTATTCTTTTCTTTATCACATCAGATGCCACGTGGTGGGTCAAAACTTCGTTGTTGATTATTAACAGTCAATATTAACGGATTGTAAACATAGGGACATAACTGACACGAGACAAACTTAGGGGTACAAGTGACAGAAACGCTAAACTATAGGCCCTTTTCTGGTATTAGACCATATTTCAAATATTTAACTTAGAATTCCAAAGATATGGTTAGGTGAAGGATAAAACCGAAAAAGATGCACATTTCGCAAATCAAAGAGAAAAACGATGTCGTGTGACTTCCAAACCGGTAACCTTATTGTGGGTTAGTTGACTTGCGAATTAATCGGATTACTCAACAGTAGTTTATTATCAACATTGGTTGAGTTGTGGAGGGTTCGATTCCCTTATTTGGCATTTGAATACTTTTTTTGCTAATTAAGTAATTACTAGCTTTATTTTTTTCTTTTTGCTAATTAAGTAATTACTAACTTTGAGGCCGCCTGATGGGCGGGTTAATTTGTGAGTTGACGTTGTTGGTGCAAGGTTGGAAGAGCACACATGCTCACATATCTTTTTTTTTTTATAAAAGTTATTATGTAAATATTGATATATGGATGACCAATGACCTACCACATTAGATGCTCATTTGGGAGTTACATGTAACCTCTATTTCTACATCATTATCTCTCATTCATAAGCATTGATATAAGGATGTAATGGTTACCAAAGTGTGCCTATAAATATAGCACACCATTGTATCAAAAGTGAAAAATGAATAAGAAGAACTCTTCTTCTCTCTTCTCTTGTGTCTTTCCCTCTCTAATCTTCTCTTGTATTTGTTTCATAACATGTTATCAGCACGAAGCTCTGCCAAAATCATCATTGTTAAGATCACAATATCTAAGATAT